GAGATCAATTAATTTCAAGCTTTGATTGATCTTGAACTTTCATGGTAATTACTCATGATCAAGCTAATGACTCAGAGAACAATTAATTTTGGTGAATTCAACTTATTGTTAGTGATTCTTTGAATAGCGCAATTATTAAATTTATTAAAATTTCAAATCTCTTGTGATTACTAATACGTGTTATATATACTTACTTTTATAAATATAAATATAATTAATGTACATTATACATAATATTATAATATAATTTATGTAATAAAATTCAAGTATATTAATAAAATTAATTTCACCGGAAATAAACGTACATGAAAAGATCAATGAGGAAGAATTATTATACATTCAAGAGAGTTAATTCGTCTTCTCTCCAATTAACAGGTTGACGTTGGTCAGGTTGAATTCAACTGTACATATAATCTGTATACAAATAGATACATGTAAATGTGTAAAGTATGACAATGGTTCACTTTTTTGATTTATACTTCAAAAGATTGTACAACTGTGTTTGATGTAGAAAGAAAAGGAGGTGCTGGATCATTCCCCCTTGTCAATGTGTGTCTACGGAACAGTTTGCACTATATTTGCGTAGATATTGAACTTTAACGAATGTATATAATTGCATTTGTACGAAGTAAAGCACTTATTAATGATAGAACACCGGTGGCGAAAGTCAATTGATAAATAATACACAAAAGTAGATATGTTTTATTAAAAGCTTTTTTATTAAATCGATAACAAGGAAAACGCAACGCGGAACTTCGTTTATATTTATACGAATGATTAATATTTTCTTTCTGCATATGTCAATATTAATGAGAAAGGATTTATACAACACTTATGGTTACTCTATGGTTCAGTCGATCTTCGTATATTGCTTTAACAAAATTTTCTTTCTGCGTGTTTCACTTTCGTCGTTTCGCAAACTCATTACACATTAAACGAGTAGATAACTTAATGACTTACTCACCGAGTAATTCAGTTTAATGTTACTCGCAACGTAGATAAGTTCCAATCTGATAATCAATTCAGTTGCATTCCAATTCTCAAAGTATACCTTTCTAAATGAATAATTCGTCACGGTTACATAGTTTGTTTCAAGGTGCAATTCGATTTTATATAGGATCACAGCCATTACACTGAAATCATTAGAATCTATTAAAGATTACGCAATATTCATATATATATA